GGGGGCACCGCCGGCCGCGGCTCCCGGGGCGGCTCTCGCTGTGGAGGCAGCTCAGCGCTCGGGCCGCCGGGCAGCGCGCGTGAGCGGCGGGCAAGGAGTGACCCGGGGGCTGTGCCGCCTGCCAGGTCCCCGGAGGGAGGGGACAAAGGCGCGCTCCGGGAAGCGCGGTCTGCGCGGCGCGGGCGGGACCTGTCACCGCGGGCTGCGCTGGGCCCGGGGCCCAGAGGAGGGCAGAGCAGCTGTTCCCTGAAAACTCCACAGCGAGGGTCTGCGCCCCGCCCCGGCCCGCCGCTTGCAGGGCGAGGAGATGTGCTGAACCGGCCGCAGGACCGTCCTGCCTTCCTTTCAGAAGCCGGGGAGGGGGTCGCTCGGGGTTTTATGGCGTTGGAGCCGCCCCAGCGCAGCGCAGGTCACAGGAATGCGACCCAGTGACGGCCACGCAGCCCCACGGGGCGGATGGAAGCAGGCGGGCCAGGACAGAAATGCGGATGAGCGCCCCCGGCCGCGCCCGCCCTCCCCACCAGGAAGGAAAGGGCTGTGGGGGCCGCCGCACCCAGGCCCACGTCGGGCACGGCTGGCACAAAGCCCCCCGAGGTCCGGCCTCGTGAGTGTGAGCCGCTTTCCGGAAGAAGCTCTCAGAAGCAACACGGAGCTGAGTTAGCACACACACGGCCGCAGAGCAGCACCTCGGGGCCCAGCCCGCACCCGCTGAAGTGAAACAAAAGTCCTGGGGGATACGGAACAGGGACCCCCACGCCTGCCCCGGCCAGAGGCCTCTCAGGCTGGACACGCAGTCTGCGTGTGGGGCTCCGCTCTGGGCGCCAAGGACACCGGGACTGCCCCGTGTTGGGGCAGAAACACGAGTATCAAGTGGGGATTACGTCCGGGGCGACGGGCCAGCTCAGAGGACACTCTCGGGGCTGTCTGGCCTCCCAAGGGGAACGACGGCCCTGGGGTGGCCAGGGAGCCCTCTGGGCAGCGCGTCGCTGGGTGCCCCCAACAGCCCAAGTGCCAGGACTCCATGTGGGGTCCCAGCCCCCGGGGCTGTACGGGGCCGGCTCACCCACTGCCCCCAGCCCCTGGGCGGCGCCTGCTGCATCCTGCCCCAGGAAGCCTCTCCCCTCTGAGCCCCTGGGCACCCGCACTCATCTTAGTGACACCACCTGAGAGGACGGCCTCGTGTCCTCCTCCTGTCCCCCCCACCCCCACCTCGGCCCCCAGGTTTATCATCCAGTGTCTACCTCGTGTCAGGCCCAGCGGCCACGTGCAGCCAGCAGGTCCAGCTCCCTGTCATGCTGAGTTCNGAAAACCTTCAATCTTTTAGAAGTCTGACAGCAGAAAATCTTTAAGACCACGGGATAGGCAAACATTTTGTAGACAGGGTAGAAAAAACAAGAACCAGAAAACAACAAAATTCAAAGACTTAACTTTGATTCACCGAAAGACACTGTTCAGGAAGATGAGAAAACAAATCCTGACTGAAGACAGGTGTGTGCAAAACACACACCTTATACAAGACTTGCACCCAGATGACGTGTGTGCAGAGCTCTCAGACCTCACTAAGGAAAAGACAATTCCATCTTAAAAGGGGCCAAGACTTGAGCAGACGCCTCACAAAGGCGGCCAGGCAGGTGAAGACACGCCTGAGGGTGCTGAAAATCCGGGAAGTCAACTGGGCCCCCCGAGACAGGACACACTGGCCAGAGCGCCTGATTTAAAGCCTGAGGACACAGGGCAGCTGCGGGGGCAGGGCGAGGTCCCCAGCACAGCTGTTGGGGGGCACACACACATCCACTCTGGACGGTACGGGGCTCTGCAAGGTGTTTCCGCTTTTGTCTTGTTTCAGTTAAAAAGATCGTACAGCTCAGCAACTGCTCTCCTAGGTGTCTATCCAAGTCCAAGAGCGATGAAATGTCTGTGCATGCGTGGACACGCACGGAGCTACACGCACGGACCTATATGCAGGCCTACACATGAGGACCTGCACGAGCGTGTCCTCGGCAGCCTGTCACATAAGCAGAGAGCAGAAACAACCCCGATGCCACCGACATTGCTGCGACACACACATACCGTGGAGTCCCACTCGGCAGTGACATGCAACCAGGGACCACGTCACACGTCAGGAGGCATCTTACACACGCTGCTGAAGTAGACGCTATGGCGCAAGGTTCTAGACAGGGACAGAAAGACCCATGGCTGCCTGAGGCCCTTCAGAGGTGCTAGGACCCTCCCGGGCACGTGGCCGGCACCCTTCACGGGCATTCGGTCAACGAGCGGCATGAGGAGCGGCCCTTGGTGTCCCCGCGCCAGGAGGCAGCCGGGCACACAGGTAACAGCTGCCGTCACGGAGCTCATATTCGGTCAGGGCGGCGGGACAAGAAAATAAACCTGCAAAACACACATCATGTCAGACAGTGACAGGTAGAACGACAACAGGCAGAGCGCTGAAGGGACAGGGTTCCAGGACCCAGTACAGGGGCGGACAGCATCCCCCCAAAACAGTGGACACCCACAGAACCTGGGAACGGTCCTATGTGGAAACGGGGTCTGTGCGGATGGGACTGAGTGAGGGATCTGAGAGGAGGGCGTCCTGGGTCGGGGAGCCCTGACCCCAACGACAGTGTCCTTATCGGGGACAGAAGAGGAGGGACACAGACACAGAGGGGACGCCACGTGGAGACGGAGGCAGAGATGGGAGGGAGGCGGCCACCCGCCCGGGGCCGCCTGGAGCCCCCAAGAGCTGGACGGGGCAGGAGGGACCGTCCCCTGGGGCCTCTGGAGGGAGCGCGGCCCTGGGACAGTTTGACCTCAGACTCCTGGCCTCCAGAGCTGGGAGCACGAGTCCGTGGTTTAAGCCCCTTTGGTCTGTGGTACTTCGTTACAGGAATCACAAGCACATAGGAGGGGGCCTGGGGGAGGAGGTGACCTTGAGGAGGGCCCTGCAGGAGGTGGGGGTGACCAGGGGTGGCCGNACCCTCACGCGTGGCTCGTGGGCACGGCCACCTTGGAAGACTGACAGCTTCTTAACAAATTAAATGCACGTTTACCACACACCCCAGCAATTCCACTTTCCTTGTCTCCTGAAGAGAAATGGGGACACGTGTCCACACGCAGGCTTACAAGCGAGTGTCGTCAGCGGGCTTATTCATGATACGTCGGCACTGGGAAGAGGCCCAGGACGCGTCAGCGGGCCAGGCATGTGGGCCTCCCCCACGTGACGGAAGAGGGAGGATAGGCAACTGCGCGGGAAGCCGGGGGCTTTCCGTCTGTAACCTGCACCGTGCCGCTGCTGGCAGCGGTGACCGTCTGCGGGAGCTGCAAACGCCAGATGACACCGGCTGTGCCGGGACCGCGGTGGCTGCAGACGGGATCGGGAGCTGTGAGCACAGCCCTTCGTCTCCCGGACCCTGCGGGAAACTCAAACAAGCTGCCGTTTCCACCGCCAGCGCAACGACAGGGTCTCTGCTGGGGGCTGTTCCCTTCCTCACTGCACAGGGCACTGAGGTGCATGGCCCCCAACAGGTGACAGCAGCGACACCTCTCAAAGCTGAGGAGGAGACGAATGTCTCGGGGCGGCACGTTCCGTGGGTGTTGGTGGCTGGAGAGCCCAGGGCCACGTCACCCCAGGGTCTCCTCCCAGGGCCTTGGCTGTGGAAGCGTCAGGGTCCTCGGGTAGGGCTGAATGAGGGGCCCCCGTCAGTTACCGTCACCCCTGAAAGTGGGGGAACAGCAGCCACCCCGCTGTCCTCATGGACCCGAGACCCCTCCTCGCGGGGCCCCCTACACATTGCCTTTGTGTCCCCACCCAGGTGGCCCCGCTGGGTCCTGGTGCCACCTGCCGGGTGTCCCGAGTCCCTCCCAGCCCCCAGCACCCCCTCTCCCCTGGTGGCTGTCCTCCTCCCTTGGGGTCTGCCCCCCACGGTTCCTCGCTGTCCCTTCCAACTTGGCCTTACAAGGTGGCTCACCGTCCCTCCCGGGGGTGTTAACAGGCGCCCACCGCACGCGGGGGCAGGGAAGGCCCCCTCGTCCCCCCAGAGCCAGGTGTGCAGTGCAGACAGCCTGAAGCGCGTGGTCCAGGAGGCCAGGGCTAGGACGATGGTGGGTGCAGCCCGGGGAGGCAGCCGGGGGCCCGCAGGTGCTGCTCCCAGGCCCAGAGTCCTCCCGCGGAGAAGCAGCCGGTGTAACCCTGCTGGGGACGGAGTCGGCGGGCTGCGCTCTTCCTGAGATGACAGCCAGTCTCAGCCGCGCTCCCAGCTCCTCTCCTGCCCAGGACACTGCCACTCGGGGGTCCCCAAGTATCTGTGCTTCTGTCCTCTACACGGGCGTTTGCCCCAACAGCCGCTGTAGGATAAGAATTTGTGGACAGCACAACGTACGCCCTCGGAACGTGTGTGCAGTTCCACGGCTTACTGTGGGCACCCGCTTTCTCTGAGAACACAGAGACTGCATCCTGAACACCCAACCTACAGCACAGCTAGGGCAGGCTGGCCCGTCAACAAGGACAGAGACACAGCCCCCAAGGGCGAGACCGCGGCGCTCACACAGAAACACACAGAGGCAGGGCCTGGAGGGTCTGCGTTCTCCCCGTCACAGCAGCGACACTGGGGGCTGAGGACTCTGATGTGGGGCGTCCTGAGCCCTGTAAGACACTGAGCAGCGTCCCTGGTCTCCAGCCACCAGATGCCAGGAGCGCGTCCCCAGCCGTGACATCCAAAGGTGTCCCCAGGGGGCGGGGCAGCCCCCACTTGAGGTCAGCAGNGAGACACGAGGCGGCTGGTTTTGGACGCGCTGCCCCCAGCTGCTCACGCACCCACACACACAGCCGTGCTGCCTCACGAGGCGCATCACCAGACCAATGATGGCGACGACGCCTGCCTCGCACGCAGCTCTGTCTGTGGCAGGCGCCGCCACCCCGGTCCCGGAGTCCAGCTGTGCCCGGGCCTCCCGGCACACACGCAGGGCTGCACCCCAGCTCCGCCAGCCACAACGCCTGCGTTGAACCCAGCACCGTGTCTTCACAGAGTCTGTGCCCTGGGTGCAGACAAGCCCCGCGTGAAGCCTGTCCCCGTGGGGTCTTTGGCCCCCGCGGTGCAGCCGACACAGAGTGGTGCGGGACGGGCACCTGCGTCCGCAGCCTCCGGCAGTGACATGCTGGGGTCCCAGGGGCTTGGACCGGGGCGTGTCAGGCCCCCCTGCATGGCGCGGTGAGCTGTCACCACGTGCAGGACAGGTCATGTCGACGTCCAGGACAGTCACGGCGGATGGCGCCCCGGGGTCCTGTGTCACCAGAGGGCCCCACAGGAGGCTGGACCCGCGCAAGATGACAACGTGGAGAGGACAAGCGGAGGCTCTGTGCAGTGTGCGCAGCGGGAGACTCGCTCCCGGGGGCGGGAAGGCCGGGACCGGCTCGGGCAGCAGCACAGCCATGGGGGCCGGACAAGGTCTGAGGGACACTGCAGCGCGGACATGACAGTCTTGGGGGCTGAGCGTGCGCAGGCCCCAGGGTCCCCAGGCAGGGCGGGCAGACACGGGAGTGGGCAGAGCCCCGGGGCCAGCCCAGCACACACACCTGGTGGCAGGCAGAGCACCTGTCACGCCTGAGGCCCCATCCCCACCGTCTCCCGCAGGCTCCAGGCTCCCCAATCTCCCGCTGCCCCCACTCTGCCCCCACTCTGCCCCGAGTCGCAACCCACCCAAGGCCACGTCCCGACTGCGCTGCACACGCAAACGTCTGGGGGGAAACAGGCCAGGCCGGTCTCCGCTGCCCCAACGCCCCACAACAAAGGCTCTGGTTCACCCCTGCCCCTCAGGGAGCCCTCACTCTCCACGGCACACACTGTCTCGCTGAGAAACGCTGTCGAAACACATTTTCTGTGACGTGAAACGACTGCCTGTGAAAGGAATTCACAGAGTTTGTTCCCACACAGTGAGTTTTGTAAGATGAGCAGCCCCCGGAAAACAACCCTGACATGAAGCGACAGGGCCGAGGGGGACGGCGGGAGGGAGGCGCGCAGAGCACGGGACACCCCAGCGGGCGCTCACAGGGGCACTGACCACCCGACATCCGCTTTCCTGGGGTCTAAGCCAGCATCAGCCCGGCGGATCCNCCTCGGCGGGCCCGGGCGGTGCGGGGTGCGGCCCCGAGGTCGCGGGTGCAGGCGGCGCCCTGCCGGCGGGGCCCCGGGTCCGGGGAGGAGGAGCGGCGCCCTCGCCTCGGGCTGCGCGCACTCGCAGGGCCTGGCGGACGCGGGCGAAGCCGACCGCCGCTCGACGCAGCTTCAAAACAGGCGCGCCGGCCGCGCTCCCAAACACGGTCGCCTACGTGGCGCGTCACCGAGGCGCGTGACGCCATCACGGCGCCCGACGTCGGCACGCACGCCTCCCGCGTTCGGTGGCGGCGAGCTGCCGGGGCTTCGCTCCGAGATCCTGGGTGGGGCCGGGGGGCGTTTCGGGACCCGCGGTGAAGGCGGGGACGGGGGACGGCAGCCGCCCCACGCGAGTTGTTCTGCTTTTAGGCTTTTTCGGGGCGCGGCCCACGCCCGAGACGCGACAGTAGGGGCCTGGGGCGTGCGAGCATGCGCGGTGCTGGCTCGCCGGGGTGGGTGGGGCGGAGGCCTGTCGGTCGAGCATGCGCAGTGTGCGCCCATTAAGGGCGCGCGGGGCGCAGGGATGGGGGTGGAGCATGCGCAGTCGTTGCACGCCGAGCACGGGGGCGCGCGCGCGCGCCCGCTGCAGGGGGCCGGGCGCGAGCGCGAGTCGGGGACTGCAGATTTTAGGGAGAATGGGTGACTTCGGACTGCAAAGACCCCGTGACAGCGAATCTTGTTTATCAACCACTAACGATGGGTTGCAGACGCGCAACTGCTTTAAACGCCGGCCTTGGAGCATAAGACCGAACTTCTAGACTTGCGAAAATAATAAAATTTGTTTTGAAGGAGGTGACATTACTTGTATCGCCTTGTGCCCTATAACTAACTTATTTCAGGGTCTGCTTGTAACGGTCTGTACATGATCCACACTGCACCTCTTTGTGTCTTCCTCTATTTTTTTTTTTGGTAAGATTTCTTTGTTCTTCACGTACAGTTTTCTGTACGTGAAACTTACAAAACTTGGGTTTGCTGCCTCTCCGGGCTTAATTGCAAGGTCTTCTNGGGACCCCAGTCCTAAAAGGGGGTCAGTTCCGTCCTTGTGTGGACTGGATGGTCAAGCACAGCCTGATACCCAGACATGGGCTAGGCCATCGGGGTGCAGGTGACCTTGACGTGAATATGTCCATCCCCGACCCCCAAACCATTCCCTGGGTGACCTTTGAAACACCACCCAGCCCTGGTCTGCTGTCAGACACGACGTCAGTGACCTGGACCTGGGTGTGGTGGCTTCTGTGCCCCACCACACGTGGTCTGACTCACCCACTCAGGTTCGGGCTCAGTGACAGCACCTTTACCAGAGCCGTCACCTGGACTGTGATGAGCATCTGATGAGCTCACACAGGAAGAGCCCTCAGGACCATTTTGGAACCTGGAAACGGGGCCTTTTGTGGAAACAGGGCCTGTGCAGATGGGACTGAGTGAGGGGTCTGAGAGGAGGGCGTCCTGGGTCAGGGGGGCCCTGAACCCAACGACAGTGTCCTTTTCGGGGACAGAAGAGGAGGGACACAGACACAGAGGGGACGCCACGTGGAGACGGAGGCAGAGATGGGGGGAGGCGGCCACCTGCCCGGGGACGCCTGGAGCCCCCAGGAGCTGGAAGGGGCAGGAAGGACCGTCCCCTGGGGCCCCCGGAGGGAGCGCGGCCCTGGGACAGCTTGGTGGCAGCCTCCTGGCCTGCAGGACGGGGGAGGATGAGTTCTGTTGTTTTAAGCCCCCGGTTTGTGGAGCTTTGTTTTGGCCACCCCAGGACACTGGCATAGCACCATCTCTGCCGTGGCCCCTGGGTCTGCAGTCCCACAAGCCGTCACTCACCATGACAACACCCCTGCTGGCCCCCTTACACGGTAACAGACACTTCTCTGTAACTCCTGGAGGTTGTTTGGCAAAACCTTTAAATCAATGCCTTTAAGCAATGGGGGTGGAAATCTCTTTCATTTGATTACATGGCACGGAGCCAAAAATATGCACCGGAGGCACACAAGCAAATTGACGTGCTTTAAGAATGATGCAATTAGTGATTGATTCGGATCTGAGCACAGCGACAAACCGAAATGCTGTGGCCACTTCTCCATAGAGCCCAGGTCACCTGGTCACCCCGCGCGGGGCGAGACAGTACCTGGACTGCACCTAACTGGGAAGCTGCTTCCCATCCAGGCCCCAGGGGCCGCCTCTGTTTTACTGTGTCTCCTTTGGATGTGCCAGCCTCTTCAGAAGATACTTTGTAAGGGCCGGCCGAATGGCTCAGTTGGTTAAGAGCTCGCTCAAGAGTTTGAGCTCTGAGCAACCGCGGTTCGCGTGCAGCCGCTGAGCTGCCAACAGGTAGCAGGATGGCTCACTAAAAAAAAAAAAAAAAGATACTTTGTAACATGCAAAACTGTTCTAAGAAAATAGCAACTTTGTAATATGTTTTCAGTGCCTAAGCTTTCTGCTCTTTGATTCCAAACCTTGAGGCTGTAAAACGTTAAGGAAACAGCCTCCCGACAGGAACACAGGTGTTCAGCCGTGTGTCCCATGATGAGGAAATCCGAAAGCAATCACAATGATCATGAATGGGAGAAGGGTGGTCAGTTATGGTTTATTTACAGAGGATACTGTGCCAAGCTGCACAGACTAAGGAAAGCATGGGAAATATGCTTGTTAGACAAACACAGAGAGTTAAACAGCAAAACAGAACGCCCGGTCTATAAAATTAGCCTCCAAGGCAGACCAGGAAGTAACACAAAAAACGAAAATTGTTTTTGTGAAGGTGGTAGAGCTAATAACTGATTTAAAACATATTTTCTCTGTGTTCCAAATAAGAATGCACTGCTGAGCTAAAAATAAATCTGTGTTAGCATTATTTTCAGACAAGGTTAGGCTATAAATAAGTTGAGGAAATAAAAAGAAGGAACGTGCGTTTACTGTCCTCAGGAACGTGGGTTTCTAGATGAGAGTTTGCAAATTTTTCTTCAAGAAAAAAGAAAAAAAAACAACAGGATGTTTCCTGGATAACCCTTCAGTTTAACAAAAGCCTTAGATACAAGACTTCTGCTCTGACATATATTTTCACCCTGAACTTAAATGAGGCCAAAACTCTTAGGCCCTCAGACCTGATACTTTGTTCTCTCCCAGTCAGCACAATTTCAGGTACTTTGGCAGAAGCCACTTTTTCCTGCATCAGACCTACATTCGTTCCCTGTGGAGCATTGTTGAAACACATATATATTTTAAAGTCACATGGGGTTGTATTGTGCGCGTTCCTGTCCCACCCGCAGAGAACGCAGTGGGGCGGTGACTGCGTTTCTCCTCCCAGATGGGAGTACTCGCCTGGTTCAGGGCCCCGTAGCCACACAGGCAGAAGGCGGCATGGGCCCCCGGGGAGAAGGGGCAGCGAGCAGACGTGGGCTGGGGCTCAGCCCAGGCGGAGAACTGGGCTCTGTGCCGCGTTTCACGGGGTCTGGGTGGCTGCTCTCAGCTGAGTGAGTGGTCTGGAGACACGTAGCCCAAGGAGTTGACCCCGAAAATGTGAGCAAGGGTCCCAGGCAGGGACAACGGCCAGGGAGTGGGGGTGGGGGGGTCAGGTAGGTGATCCATGTGCCCGGGCAGCACCAGGGCTGGGGGCTGGAGCCGACCGGCCATGGGAGGCGAGGTAAGCTGAAGGCAGGTGGGTGCGCTGGGCCAGTCACTAAAGCCCGGTGCTAATGGGACAGAAAACCCCCGGGGAGTTCCCACAGGAGGGCGACACCGTCGGGCTTGTATTTCTGAGAGGGGATTAGAAACAGTCCGGCAATTTCTCACCAGGTTAAGCATGAAGGTCCCATGCGACCCAGCAATTCTGCTCTTAGGTACGTGCCCGAGAGAGGTGAAATGATACGTGTGTGCAAACCCGTGCACACGCATTTTCCCAGCAGCACCGTCCATGATCGCCACCCGCCCAGGGACGCCTGCAGCCCCCAGGAGCTGGANCACACACACACACACGCACCAGCACACAGGTGACTGGCTGTGCTGCGGAGGTCTGGCAGGGGACCCGCCCTTGGTCCTTCGCGGTCTGCACACGCATCCTTGCACAGAGCCGACCTTGCGTGAACACCTCCAGACCTCAGAGGCTCACGTCACGGGTCAGGAAACACAGCAATTCGCTCGAGCGGAGTTGGCTTTGTCACAGAAACACATTTAATGACCAAGCGGGCTGCTCCCTACGTGAGACCTGAGCAATCCCCATGAGCGCGCATGCCACCCGGGGAGGGAGAAATGGTCACGACTACGGGGAGCTTTCTGAGCCGGGGCCGTTCACAGCCCCACCGCCTTGGTGCCGTGAGGGACTCGGGCCAGGTTTCCTCGAGGGGAAGGCTGTGCGCGCAGCTCCGCGTGGGCCGGGCTCGGGGTGGGCCCCAGAGGCGTCCTGGCAGCCAGACAAGCCGCACTCAGGGTTCATGTGGAGGCTGAGCCTGGTGGCCCCCAAGCTGCGTCCGGGCCCACTGCCCAGTCCTCTGGGGGACTTACTTTCTGGAAGGCATCCTAGATCCGTTAG